TGTCAACCCTGAGTAAGTATATGGGAAATCTCCAAACCATGCTGTTAGTCTTGGTTGGACATGATATTCACCTGATAAACAGGATTACTAATAATAGTATGAAGTCTTGTTCAACTGATTGCCAGTTGATCCAATGATCATCCATTACTTAGCTGATCAATTGTTTACTTAAAATTAAGTTAGTATATTCACCCTATATATCCATTTATCAATCAGTCAATCAATCTATCTATCAATCAATTCATCAATCACTTGTCAATCAAGAAATCAATCACTGATTTATCTAATTTTTTATCAATCAATCACCCAGCTATACATTTACTTAAAACGTAATTTTAACAGTCCTTCGAACGAAACACTTTTAGAACAATCATCAGCAAGCAAAAACAAAGGGMGAAATTCAAATGTACMAAAAMATTAATAATCACCTTTAATCTTAATTTTCTTTGAATCCCATGGAATCTCGCTCTCAAGTTGTTGAAACATCCARTCYTTTTCATCGCGACTTAAAAAATTTGGAACAAACTCCACAAAAGATCCACTACTCAATTCATAGACACCTTTCTCACTTATAACTTGTTCTGGAGGAGCCCGTTTAACTGTGTTAACAACGTCCTGTTGGAAAACAAATCTATGAGCACTTGGTTGAAAAGCTTCATTACCAGGAACTTGAGATGTTGTTGTCTGACGAGCTGTTTGGGTCTCCTTTCTTCTTGTTTGTGAAGCCCAAGTGCCTTGGATGCGATTTTTTCGTCTTTTATCCATAACATAAGTGTGAAATATCTTGGAATTCTACCTTGTCACTTCCTAAKTCATTCATGTAAAAGAAAAAGCCAATTCAAAACAAAAACTTCGTTAAATACACACACACACACTCCGTCCGCCATCTTTCTTTTTAAGATAACAATATTGCATTGTGGGTAATGGAAAAGACTGCTGGCTAATGTTCGTTGGCGCAAATAGCTCCCTCACGTAATTCCATTCGACCTTGGAATATTTATTTCGTGCAGCAGGAAACCGTTACCAATATCATTTGAATAGTTATATTTATCCCGTTTTAATGACTTTTATGATAGGGTTCGCCGGCTCCAGGCGTCTCTATGGCTGTATTTCCATCTTCTCTCTCCCGTGTTTCTCTTTTTCACACGTAAATGCCGCAGTAGTCATGTAATACAAAGTTTTCCTTTATTTCGACTCGCCGTTATTTTTYTCTTAATACCCTAGATTCATAATTTAGTTATTTTACAGTATAGCAATTAAAAGTCAAGTCCGTCAGTTATGACATAATATTTGCCATGCTCAATCGCAATCTGTGGTTGGTCCTGAATTAAACTGTCACTTTTTCTCCTGCGATTTGATATGCATGATGACGTCACGATAGACTAAATTTCCCGAGTCTAGTGCCCATATGAAGTCCAAGTGATTCCAGGGTGGAAGATACTTGTTGTAAAGTTGATTTGGCAGCTTTGTCATCAAGGATTTGACGTCACGTGGATCCGCTAAAACGTCTTTTCCACCCCAATAGAGCGCAGAAGGAACATCGACCGCTGACACATTGTACTCTGGTGGAGAACCCTGAAAAAAATGGTTGTTATTAGGAGATTAGAAAACGCTTGTCAGAAATTAAATATACAGTAACAGCGCCTCCCCCATTCTCCGCTTGTCTGCCCCTCCACAGTTGCTACACAGGCAAACAAATTCTATGATGATAAATAATAAATCAAAAACTACAAACCTGCCCATAATGCAATTTGTTCTTTTGTACGCTGCCATAGTCATACATCTGGAATTTCTTCGATTTGTGCAGCTGAGCGAAGTGAACCATGTTTTTTACGGATGTACCAGCAGGCGTATGTGAGATGTAAATCGGCATACGGGTCTGTGAGAAACATAAACATTAGTCCTAAGTATAAAGCCACGGAAAGCAATAAAAGTTTACCTCGTTGAGCTGCTTGGTGTCGACTCCCGCAATGAGAAACAAGATGTCAGAACAGACGTCCCTGACTACCTTATGTCCACAGATTAGCTCTGACAAGATGCGTAAGATTTCATTCGAAGGAAAGAAATCTCGGATACCAAATATCTTGAAAAATTCCTGATTTCAAATCGAGAAAATGACATCAGTACTTGCACTAAAACAGAATTGAGCTTCTATGGCTAAATACGGCATATTCGATCAGTCTTGGATTGTAACAGTGYTGTGCAAATCTTAAACTTGAATATGTTTTTTATATCTAAGAATTCTACATCCATCCTCGGGAACCCAAAAGTAATCTCCTATCGCTGGTTTTCCTTTAGTACGTGGAACGAGCGGCAAAAGATTACTACCCCTCCGTTTCCGAGGATGTCCTACACCGTGGCAGGATATTGTATAGCAGCGTTCTCTCAGGCAAGCGCGTATATTTTAACCTCAAACTCAGGAGTAAAGTAGGATAGCCATTTGAACGCTCCGCCCATATACGTCACAGTTGATACAGGAGCAAGTGCGTAAAACGTCTTCACTTTCTTAATCAAGTCGGGATTTCTACTGAACTCAATAAAACCAATCATCGTTCCCTGTGAATGACCTGCGTAGTACAGTGTTTCATGGCCAGTAGTTTTAAGAGTGTAGTTGATCATAGCTGGAAGGTCGTATTTAGCCATCTCATCAAAGCTATCAATAGAGTATAAACAACATATCAATCAATATATAACAACCATGTTGTTCTTTTAACAGTTTAATCGCCCTATTTCATTATGATGCCGTTTTGACGCTATGCGTTATGGTCGCAAATTCAAATCAGAGTGACTGTATATCAAATAAAATGTCCATTCGCAATCTTTGATACATGACATATGCCAAAACATGATACATGGAAGTTCTACTTTCGGAGAGATGGGTCCAAATGTCCACCGTTTCTKAGCACGTAAACATACTATGACGTCATTACTRCAGTTTCGAATTCTCTTTTGTGCAAGCTTAGATTCAATCATATAAACATAAATTTTTCTTGCATCCTTTTTAAACAGAGTTTTTGCATTACAATAGGATCTCTKCTGAACAAAAGAATATATTACTTGCTTTCGAGGTTAAGGCTGCGCAAATAAGATCTCGAAACTGGAGTATTCATTTGCATTTAGGCATTTTCCAAATTTTACGTAGCATTAGCTTCAATTGCGCRTAAATTTTATTGTCACCTTTGTACTTAGGGGTTACTGATTAAAGAAGACATTGCACTATGCACTCTTTCGATGTTTATAATGAGTAAATCTCTCAGAATCTCAACACAGGAACCCCACAAAATGAAGTACTTCTAGCATTATACCTGAAGTCCCAAAATTCATCTGAATGGATAGGATACTTGACATGTCTTTTCCCATAAGTATTTCCTCGTACGTTACCGAGCCATACATCAAAGCAGCTATCCGCGGCTATGAAGGCAAAGCTTTCATCCGGTAAATTAGCAACCCAATTTGTGGATGAACACAACAAACCATGCTGTAAAAATATCACTGGTTTAGAATCGACGTCTTTGCATCGACCGTGCCGTCCATAGGGAATGCGTTGTATGGAAAGTATGTAGCCATCTTTGGTTATGACGTCATGGTTCTCCACAGGGTACCCGTTGTATTGAATCATCTGACTCTAAGATCAAGACAAACCAATTTGTTTGAAAAGCTCATTGTCTGTACAATTTATTATTTTTACGTACATGTACACCGCAATGACATTGTATAAAGTCCTACAGACTATTTATAGTCAATTTTTATCCATCCCTAGTGCGCCTTCTCTAGCGTGACAGTCGCGTGACAAAATGATTAAATTTCGAAAATGATATTTAAACGTTACGAAACCTCAATTCCCCCGACTGCCTTCGAAATCGAAAATTYATGATGAAATTTATCACAATAATTTCTGAATATTTCTTTTCAAATAAAATTGCAACGTCTAGATCTTTTCCTGCAAAGTAAGCAACAAAATCACACAGTAAATCCAGAGACTTCGTGCAATTAAGACAATTAATGTGGTTCCAACCGATCGATTAAAACGACAAGAAAAGAAGTGAATGTAAACGTTAAGCACAAACGTATATGATCACATTCGAGTGATTCAAATATTTAAATTTTGTTGTTGTAAATTAAAAACGTGTAAGTAAATTGTAGCCATTGCTGTGCTTCCTTACCACATTCATGTTGACTTCCGGCAAAACGTGCCGTAAGCGCAGTGGCTTTACGTTTCCATAGTCAAAAGACTTGATTTTCCCAGCACTTACGCAGACTATTAATGCCAAATATATAGATAAAGCAGTGGAATAAGACATTTTCTATGTGGATGGCAGCCCTTTAGTGCGTCCCCAGCTWGATGATTTCACGGATACTGGAGTTATGCAACACAACCACCGTGCTACGCTGCTGCAAGAATATGAAAGAGAAAATGCCAAGCGGGTATAATCGTTTTAATATGACGTGCACGTGATCGTGTGTCAATCAAAAATTATATTGTTTTTCTCTGTTTGCAAACCTAAAACATGCTAAAATTGAGATGGTGGAATGATGAAATGATGAAATTGAAAGGCCAAACGTCCAAAATAATATACACCGTGAGTCCAAAGTTCCCGAAAGTGCACTGTCATTTAAATTTACTTACATTTTAATATACAATACGGAAATGCATTGATGCTGACTCCAAGTATGAGAAGTTACAAGACTAAACTCAACTAAATTGCTTTCCATCAAAAACGGAGATGGCGAATAATGGCACATTCACTACGGAAAAGTGAAATTCCAGGGCGAATAACTACAAACAGTACATTCTCGTTTTTCTTCTTCTTCTTCCTTCTTCTCCTTCAATATCTCAGCTCACTAAAACGGATCAAAAACGTTAACCATGGAAAAGTGAAATAGGTCTTTCAATGAAGAAAAAGCTTTATTTCCTCATTATTTGSCATACGTCACAATTGCATGTATTTTGATTTGCCGAGGAAACCCGAAGAAACTTGCAATTTTGCCATCACACGTTTTTCTAACCTGCTGGGAGAAAAACGCCTGATCGAAGCAAAAATATTTCGGATGAAGTAATGCAATTTTTGTTTTCTAATTATAAATTTCATTATTCATTTTCATAATAACCTTTGCATACACATGCACATGTTGCAAGTGTCCCAAAAAACACCCAAGAAAAAAAGGCTAAATTACAATGTAACTTGTTGTAAGAGCACTTTTCACTGGTTCCTTTACCCAAGTCATGGTACAAAATTGGAAGAGTTAGTTAAGGCATTTGCTGCCATTGTCAGTAAAGAATTGATCTTAAAAAGGATCCTTATAGCGGTTCTAGGAGAGGGGGGGGGAGAAAACGGAAGGGAAGGGGATCAGGGAAGGAGCTATTTTCGTGTCCACCTGCACTTAAAATGACGCTTCGGCTCGCAAGGTACAGCGGTTGTTCGTGATTCTTAAGGGGTGAATGAGGGGAAAGCCGGGGTACATTATCACATGTGGAATCAATCAAGAGGTCACGCGCTCCATACATGTCAAGACAAGACAAAGGGATATCTGGTTTCTTTTCCCTCTCTTCGATTCTCAGGCAATGATCCTGTAACGATGGCTGTTAAAATGACTTTAATACTTCTTATTGTGGCCTTAATGGCTGAATGTATCGTTGGAGGACCAATGGTAAATGATCCTAATAGAGATCCTTTGCCTGAAGAGAATATGAATGTGGTAAGTCGTCAGTAGTTATTTTAGATGAATTATTTATTATACGTGGGACGCCGTCGGCAGTGTTACGTATAATAGATAGGATTTCGTTTTACTTTGTAAAAACGCGTTATCACTTTGATACAGAGATCATGGAGACCGTACCGTGCATTGAGGGTGATATCTACTGTTTCAGTATTTCCCCTTGTCGTCAAAAGTATATTACATGTTACGACTAGCTTCCGTGGGACTACCCTGGTCACAGAGGTTTTCTTTTCTCTTCTTTTCTAGATGTTTTTTATCGTATTTTTGTCTTTTGACAAAAATACGATAAAAAACATCTAGAAAAGAAGAGAAAAGAAAACCTCTGGGACCAGGGTACCGTGGGACCGTGTTGTCCTCTACAAWCTATGCAACTATAGCTAGTCCTATAGGCCTTAGACAATGGAAAAAGAACCATAGTTTATTTATTATAAAAGTGATTATTTACAGCTATATTGAGAACGGTAACACAATAGTCATGATGACCTCACTTAGTACTTTAAGAATGCTAAAATTTCCTATATATTTCAATCAACCCGGATGTTGGAAGTCGCAATAATATAAAGCAGTATTTAGACTCTCAGAGTGCAAAATACTCTTCAAGTCCTACAATATATATACTTGTACAAAGCATCCGTAGCGGTGGTGTTCAGCTGTCGCCTTGGCGACCAACAGGGAGGGGAATGGGAGGGGWATGGACACATGTAACYTGGTAACAGGMTGCGGCAAAGACTGYCATGGTCGAGACTGACTGACTTATTTTGCATATTTTGCTGTGTTACTGGAATCAACATAAAGATATTTTATTCATTCGAAATCATYAATATTCATGATAACATTGCATTATGTACTGCTCATTATTTACCTTTCCTGTCAGACACAAATGATACTATACAACGGGTACCCTGTGGAAAACCATGACGTCACAACAGAAGATGGATACATCCTATCAGTCCAACGCATCCCGTATGGTCGTAATGGAAACTGTAAGAACGTCACCTCAAAACCAGTAGTATTCTTACAGCACGGTCTATTGGCTGCTGCGACGAACTGGGTGACAAATCTACCCAATCAGAGCTTTGGGTTTGTGCTTGCGGATAARTGCTTTGATGTGTGGCTTGGAAAYATGCGAGGGAATACGTACTGTCGACGGCACGTGAATTATTCTGTACACTCTGATGAATTCTGGGATTTCAGGTAAGATTTTTTGGGATTTCCTAGAAATGAGAATCCCCCCTGCAACCTCCCTCCCCCAGCCAACGTCATCTAAGATCTAAACGCAATGATAACTGCTTCTACGTTTCCCTATCAATTTCAGTTTAGATAAAGTACATTGACCTTCAATCTTTCCTTACTCAAAACGTAACTAAATATTTGCGGGAGAATCTCTCCTAATAATTTCACCAGTAGATTTCTAAGCATTCTATATGTCTGTAACAGCGGTTCTGCATCGTGTATGTTACAGAATACGTAGAATCTGGGCACTAGTTTGGGCGGACAGTTTCTGTTGCGGACACTCAATTGCGATCCGAAAGGTGTTCGTTATAACGGGAGTGTATATGTTAATTAAAATTGTATTTGACTCAGTTTTTGTCAACGAAATTTTTCTTTGCAGCTTCGACGAAATGGCCAAGTACGATCTTCCAGCAATGATTAATTATGTAATTAACACTACAAGTCAACCATACTTGTACTACGCCGGCCATTCACAAGGAACAATGATCGGGTTTATTGAGTTTGGTAGAAATGCTGAATTGATAAAAAGAGTGAAGGCGTTCTATGCGTTGGCTCCCGTGTCTACTGTAACGTACATGGGTGGGGCTTTGAAGTATTTGGCAGATTTGTCTCCTGAAATACAGGTAAACAGGTCGTGCATCATATGTAGACCTACAAGGCACTTATTATATATAATTTCATTCAATTTGTATACTAACACCATTGAGTTTGTTGCTTTTTCAGTTCTTTTTTAAACTTTTTGGCGTCCGTGAGTTCCTGCCATCTAATTTTGTGGTAAAGTGGTTCGCGCAAATATTTTGTAAAGCCCCTGTACTCGAAATGGTGTGCTCGGATTTCCTGTTTCTGATAGCTGGCAATGATCAGAAACAACTTAATGAGGTAAGAAGTAAGAAGACAGAGGGTATTAGCGAGAACCTTTATAATTGATCTTTGCATTGACCTCCTCCAACCGTCCATGTATTCATTCTTGTAACGATCACTAGCTCGATTAAATGAGCTGCAGATATAGGATCCCCATGAAGTTTTATGTCAACATTTCCTATTATTACTTATCTTGTTTATATTATTACTTTGTGCAAGCTAAATAAACAAAAGCATAAACATAGCTCAATACATTGAGCCACAATTGGCCCCTCTTCTCACGTATAGCACACCACTATGACATGTTACACCACTACTTGTTTTTCTTCTTCGCTTTTATTTCCAAAGACAAGAGTTCCTGTTTATGTTTCACACACACCTGCCGGGACGTCTGTGAAGAACGTGGTCCATTTTGCTCAACTCCACAACGCTAAGAAGTTCCAGATGTATGATTACGGCAGCGCRGATAAGAACAGACAGCACTATGGGCAGGTATGAARAAATGAARAARTGRAAAAATGAGCAARKGAATAACTTTTAATCTTTTCTTTAGGATACCCCACCAGAGTATAATGTGTCTAAAGTTGCGGTRCCTACTGCTCTCTACTGGGCCGGCCATGACGTYCTGGCAGATCCAATGGATGTAAAATCACTTATGCCAAAGCTTCCTACACTAACTTAYAACAAGTTCATTGAAGCATGGGAACATTTAGACTTTGTCTGGGGAATGGACGCGACCACAGAAGTCTACAATGACATTATCAAACATATCTTAGAAAAAGAGAGAGAAATGGGCAAGAGTTAATCTTATACCATAATACAGCGCGCGCTCGTKTTTACATGCGTTTAAATTTGTCAATTATATAATAGATTATACATTGGAAAACCTCAGACTTTTACATACTATGTAAATCATGTGTAAATTGTTTGTAAACAGACTGTAAAATTGATTTTACAGCCAAGGTACTTTTACATACTATGTAAATTCCAAAAGACACTTTTGTAAATCATTTGTAAATTCTTCCTCGTACTCAATGTAGATTTTTTGTAAATGTGAAAAAAAATGTTTATAAATACAATTTCCAAAATATTTACATAGTATGTAAAGCACTGAGATTTTCCAGTGATAGATTGATAGTACCTGTGAGGTACTTAGTTAAAGATATCTCTGTCCAAACTTAAAAGATGGAATACGATTTGCGCTCAGTTTAAGAAATCCTATGACTCTGTCATTTTCGTGTCCACAATGGCGCTTCGGCTCGCAAGGTATGGCGGTTGGTTATGATTATCAAATTATACTTTGAAAATTGATATAATAGTGATAACCTGGAATCGATTGAGCTCATATACCTAATAAAAAAAGTTTATAGCTTACGCACTTTCTTACTTACTTCCTTACTTGATCATAAGATAACCTCCTTGATGGTCTTGGGCTTCCTGTCTTCCTGGATATTGAGGGAGACTTTGCTCACAATTCGGAAGTGGGGGGTCCCAAAAGCCGGAAGAGGATAAAAATCAAGTGTTGCATTCGAAGGAGGATAATCGCTAGAAGATAGAGGAGTCTCCTGAAAAAAACTGTACTATAAAATATATAGAAATGATTGCACCCGAAGTTTGATCTAAAAGGAAGTATGGGGTGGGCTGCCTGTGTCGGGAGAAACCACAGACAAAAAGAAATAGTTTTATCGAAAGCGCCTTCCCACTGTAGGTTCATTACCTATCTTTCATTTGTACTTTATCTCTCTCCATTTTTCCATTCTTAATAATTGTGACGAAAGGCCTTATGGAGTCTCTTGTCACGATGTCAATGTGTTGAGTGATCGAACCGTCCACTTGTAGCAGGCGTTCCTTGCTAGTCCTTGATTTGAAAAAAAATCTGTAGAGAAAAAGAAACAAAGTAGCAACAGAAAAGAAAAAGAAGAAAAGAAAAAGAAAACAAGAAAGAAGAAAACAAGAACAAACAAAAACGAAATAAGAAACAAGTAAAAAAAAGAGAGTCCAGTGGCAGGGCTCGAACTTGGTACTTTCACTTGAATAGAAGATGCACCCCCCGGACATACATAAGAAATAATGAAAATAAAAAAACTAAAAAGATGGGACGATTCCCCCGAGACATTCTATGAAGCTGAGGCGGCGAATCGGCTTACGTTACGGTTAGAGATTTCGGCCCTTCCACGCTATCCCGAGTGAACATAAAACTTAGTCTTAACCAAAAGGCCAGGGAGTGAGGGGGTAGCCGCCCACTAGAGCATACCTTTAGCTACCCTCTTAGACCATCGTACTATGAAGACACTTATAGATATCTAATATCTAATTGGGGTAGTCTATTCGGTGAAGTTCTATGCTAATATATGACGTCACCAATATCCTTAGGGAGCAGCGAGCCAATCAAAGCTCTGCTCAGGAATTAGCAAAGATACGGGATTTGCATAATCATTCTTCAGTGGATTTATTATTTGAGGGGGGTGGGGACGGGTGCTGAGTATTGTTTTGCGCACGGATACCGATGTACTTGATGTCACGTGACGGCTTTCACGGAGCTGTTCAATTGTCGTTATTGTTTTCCAAATCATCACAGGCAAAGGTGTACAGTTCTTATATCCGACAATTGATCACAAGAATTTTGATGAACACCACGACTAAAAAATCTTTTGAAACTGAAAGTGGTTGTTAACGGACCAGGCAGTCTTATACCTGTTGCCAAAGATTTGTCGGGATTCAATGGAGCTCAATTGAAGACCTCTGAACCGTCCAACATTCGAACGTTTCAAATATTCGTTTGGTAACTTACAAAAGTTTACAAAGCTGTACAAAGGGATTAATATTCGCCTCACTATAGTTTTGCAATAAAATCCCGAAGATTGCTAAGTTTTTCGGTATTTCTTTATCCTTTATCACTTTTATATGGGATTGTGATCCTCTTCAATTGTTAACATTCACTTTAAATTGTTTAAATCTATAAAATAATCTATAAAATAATGATTTTATAATAAATAAGTAATTAATATGTAATTTAAATGATATAAACATTTTATCTAAATTAAAGCTCTAAGAACACCAAGTCGTGGAAAAATTCCTTTTCTGAATCTTTCAGTAGGATATGTTTACTGTAGGCACGGGGATACAGGGCGCCCCGCGTCGGGCATCCACGGGAGGAATGATCAACCATCACATAGGTTCCTTGGCCCCTACTACTGGGAATCGCCGCCTGGTGTGTCTTTCTAGGCAACATACTGTTTGATCGCCACTTGATGCTTCCAGTTCCTTGCAGCTAGTATACAGCTAATTWWRARAACGTTAAATACTGARGATATTGTATATTCYAAGAGCGAAATGCGTTGTGGGTYTTTCCATCACCGTTCAAAGGGAGCTTTAAGAACTTCCAAGGAAAGCAATTCAATTTAGAATTGCCATTTTGTAATTTTTTTCTTTTGTTTCGTGAAGACTTCCCCCTGTCCTCCCCCCCTCCCCCTCCCCCTCCCCCTGCCCCATTCTGCCCCAAATACAGGCGACAACGTCTGGCCATAGAAAAGTAACCAATCAAATCCTAGTAACACATCACATGATGGTCCCATGGTACGTCGCACGCTCGATCGCACATGTTGAAACAAAACAAAACAAACTGCTTCCAAGACGAAATTTGGCCTTTCGAGGCTTAGGATTTCCTTTCCTTGCTTTCCAAAAGCAATCACACTCCACCAAGATGCTTCTTGTGGCCTTATTGTTCATGTTGGTTGGGTTTTGCCAAGGTTTTACGCTGTACAGAGATCTTCCAGAAGTCAACATGAATGTGGTATGTACTGAATGTTGAATGTCTCAAAATCGATATTTGGGTACTTTTCATTAGAAATTTTCAGAAAAATGGTTTATCCTAGTTCTTTTGCTGCTTTGGATATCTATGTTTAATCTGTCCACGTCGATGTAAGCTCTATGTAAGTTTTATTACTGTGATGGTAAGCTTAAGCCATTCAGCATCTATAGGAATACGTTATAGGCTAAGACAAAGAGACATCATGCAGTCCTCGCAGTATTCGAAGGGATTGTCAAGTTTTAAATCAAATATAGAATAAAAGTTTTAAGTTTTAATTGTGTAAATTTTCACTGGAAATACTCTGGTTTTTAGTGGCTTGGACAGGTAGGAAGTACACACCTCCGAAACTCCCTCTCACGTGATATGTATTTTTAATTGTCAAAGCGGCTTTACTAATGTTTTCACTATAACTTTGTAACTTTGCATTAACTTTATATCTGTGATTAAAATTAATTATTGGATATTCCAGGAAGTATTTTATTATTATCATTATTGTTAAAGTGAAAGTCAGCAGCAACAGCAACAAACAAATCCTAAAAAAAAACAAAATTTGAATCCTTTCTTATAGTGATGTTGGTAATTTATAATTTAGACTCAAATGATTGAATACAATGGCTACCCATCAGAACAATATGATGTCAWCACTTCAGATGGATATATTATAAACATTCAGCGGATTCCATTTGGAAGAAATGGCAAATGCAAAGAAGTGACATCAAAGCCTGCTGTTTTTCTGCTTCACGGTTTACTTTGCTCTTCAACAAATTGGGTGGCAAACTTACCAAACCAAAGCCTTGGATTTCTACTRGCAGATAATTGTTTTGATGTCTGGCTGGGGAATGTAAGAGGGAATACTTATGGACTGAAACATATCAATGGTACTGTTAATCCTGATGTATTCTGGAACTTCAGGTTCGTATTTTTGCTGTGRGCTTAAGGGSAAATGTTGATTGGATATACCCTTTTYAAAGAMYTCCAACAAGCATCAATTTCTTTTGTTTTGTTTCTTTTGTAGCTGGGATGAAATGGCTGCTTATGACCTACCAGCAATGATTCACTTTGTTCTGAACAAAGTCAAGAAGCCTTACTTGTATTATGCTGCCCACTCCCAAGGGACAATGATTGCATTTGCAGAACTGTCCCATAACAAAGAGCTTKCCAGCAAAGTAAAGGCTGTGTTTGCAATGGGTCCTGTGGCAACTATAGGATACATTGAAAGCCCACTGAAATATTTATCATATTTTGTTTCAGATATAGAGGTACAGTAACAATTATATTGAGCAACAATATAATGATAATTTTAAGAGTAAATTAAAGTTTAATTAGTGGATTACTACATTGTAAATAAGGTGCTTTTATCTGAGACTGTAAATGTAATTTTGCTTTGATGACTAGGAATTTTTCAAGATATTTGGAATTCATGATTTTCTACCAAATAATGAAATCATGAAGATCCTTGCTGATGTGTTTTGTGGCCCCAAGTTAACAAGGGAGGTCTGTGCAGATGTAATTTTTATCATTGATGGTTTTGATGAGAAGCAACTCAACAAGGTGAGTCAGTCAGTCACTTAGTCAGGGAGTTAGTCAGCCAGTCAGGGATTCAGCGAGACAGTCAATCAAGGCTCAGTCAGTCAGTCAGTCATTTTATCAGATAATTAGTCATGWACTTAACTAACCAAGCAATCATCCAGACAAGCAGATTATCAATCAATCAATCATTTACTTCAGCTATTTGCAATACACAATTCTTCACTTGTATAGACCAATCAGAGCAGACCAAGGAAGTATTTTATGTTTTACAAAATAATAGGAAACTTAAGCTTATTATTATTTGCCATTCCATTACTTAAACAGTGTACATCATTTTGCTCTTTTGCTTAAATACAGACAAGACTTCCAGTATACATATCTCACACACCAGCAGGGACRTCYGTCAAGAACATGATTCACTATGYRCAGGTATGGCTCTCAGTAATTAAAGGYCCAGTTTGCAYCATTAKKCTTTGCRYGCCTCTGTTATTGTTATGATTYACACMAAAATACTTCTAGTATCCAAATATCACCATGAAACGAATTTCAGATGGTYGAAAACTCTAATATTAGCRTTTAAAGTACTTAGAACAGTGAGATGGTCAAAGACTTTAAACACACTACAATTTATAGACTTTCGGTAACTGAAAATGGYCGCCTCCYGGCTCTCSCRGCCCMCAAAGCATAATGGTGCACACTGGGCCTTTAATAGCAGCTGTAAAAATCCTTGTATCTCAACATTTAACTTGAAATTTACCTTCAGAGCTATGACTCAAAAAAGTTCCAAAAGTACGATTATGGCAAGGATAATAAAAAGCATTATGGACAAGTAAGTGTCACTTGATCAAAAGTATCATCTATGTCCTTTCTCTTTTGAGTATGTTCAGAGGCTACGATCCYTATGTTGTTTTTCTGAATTTTGTTTTAATTTCAGGACTCGCCACCATTGTATAACTTGACAACATACAATGTCCCTACAGCCCTTTATTCTGGAGGTGATGACTGGCTTGCTGATCCTCATGATGTCAGTCTGCTAACTTCAAAAATTCAGAAAGTTGTCTTTCAAAAGAAAGTTATTAATTTTTGGCAACATTTGGACTTTATTTGGGGACTTGATGCTGCRACTTTAGTTTACAATGACATTATAAAACACATTAAGAAAATGGAAGGAATTTTTAATTGAATATAGACTTAGTCTAGAAATAACTTTTTTATGAAAATTCACTAGGTTATAGCGTTAATACTCCATGTTTATCAACAAACTCATGTTTATGTGCCAAACATGATCACAATGGCTTTTTACAAGTTGCTTTGCTTAAACTGCCCAGGGGAGGATACAGGTCTCTCCTTGAATAGGGGTGCAAGTTATTCAAGGATGGGAGCACCTTGCACCCACTCCCTTCTGCCAATTGTTTTTCTAGTTGACACAGAATTAAAAACATGAGGACTGTCAACTCTCCCAGGTTATCCAAGAGTCTCAGGAGCTATCGCTTGGCTATATCTCCCAGTCTCAAGTTTACAACCAAATCTCCATTTTTTTGATAAAATAACTGTAACTCTGATTTTTGTATGAATGTAAAATATTGATGGTTTTTTTCGCTTATGCCAGTCAGCATACATGTAGCTATATAATATATWTTTTTTATTTTTATAGTGTATACATTGTTAATTTATGTACTGATAATTATTTCAAATGTCAAAAGCCCAACAAAATTAATATRATAGACTGTGACGAATATTCAACAATTATATCCTGTGTTGGACTTTCACYATAGAACAACAACCATAAGAGACGCTAGAGCATGCTGACCCCTTTCCCACCTGACCACAACAATTTCACACTTATTTGTGAAATAGCTCAAACAGAAAATATACAGAACCTACTTTCTGATCAGCATCATGATATTTGAGATTTTGAGATTATTGTCCTTGATCTGAATGACGCTTAATTGGTCGGCGTTCGTGGGGTTCCTGTGTAATTATTTTGGCGGGAAATACTGCGTCAAAAACACGTGTACTCAGTATTTGGACGATACTCTAAGGGAACCCAGAATAAAATAACCAGGGTAGAGTATAGGAAAAAGTGGTTATTTTCTAGACTCAGAAGAAGTCAAAAATGTTGATTATAAGGCCTGATATTCTGGCTATTCATATTTAAGGGACTTAACTGAATATTTATCAAATAATTAGGTTACTGTTGCTGTTTTCGTCTCTCTCTTAGGCATGTAACAGATGTATTGAAACTCATAATATTTCATCTTTTGACTATAGTATAAACAGACGTTTGCATTGGAAAACTAATTCCAGAGTTTAACTCTGCAAATTCGAAAGGCTTATAATCCTTTTTTGTTTTTCGGCAAAGATTAATTAGATTAGATCGTAAGACAAACTATATCATTAAAATATAAGAATAATTGACTGCAATAAATGGTCGATGTTGTTGTTAGCTTTCATGTGACGTAAACTTTTCGACTTTTGAGTGAAGATGTCCTGTCTTAACACACTACTTTTGAAGTCATATGTTACTAAACTCAAGCGTATCCACCAGTGCGAGACGTGATGATGTCATTAGCCAATCAGAGCGGAATTCACACGTCTAAAAATAAGCTTTTCTGCTCAAAAAAGGCCGCCTTAAAAGAGTGTGATATTGATATGCAAATGTTGAGTATCACTTTGTGTATTAAATGAACAATGATGATTGCACCATTATCGCTTAAGGGAGAGTCAAAAAGAGGGAAYAGCGACATAGGGTCTAGATTGCAAAACAGGAAAAGTTAACGCGTAACTTCATTTCTCAGCATCGATATGCGAAGTTTTGATATTTGAATGATAAAAGTTCGAGCTAAAGCTGTTAAAGCTCGTGTTGCTTGTTCCGCTGCTAACACCTTTCATGTGCAAATTAARGATTACATACCCCGGAAGCGAAAACATTAATCTACCTGGCCAATCACTGCTCTTTCAAACACGTGCTTGTTGGAATATCGGCACTGCTGAAAGCCGATCATTCTCTTGTTTCATGACTAAAGTTAAGAGGTCAGGATTCTGAGGTCTCATTAGCTTCTCTTTAAAGGTGAAGCAAGATCAGCGACGACGAAAATTATCTTTAGTAAGTACTCTCGTCATGTATGGTATAACTAAAATCGATAATCATTTATATCAAAGTGGTTATATGGCCCGAGCACCCCCGGGTTATATGGACAGTTTGCATTCGAGGTGTCTTTTAAGAAAGCTTCTTACTACAATACTAGTTTCATTCAGCGCTGATGCACGCAGGCTGAACACTGGCTGCTCGCACTGATTTATTGCTCTAATCTGTTTTTTCTCGTTCGTTATCATTAATTTTGTTGAATTTTTGTCAATCAAAGTTAAGCCTGATTGCCAGTGACTGCCCTGTTTACATAGAGATATATAGGGTCACCCCTACTTGGAGTAACTTAACTATGGTTACCCTACTCAAAGAGTTTTAACATTTTAAACTTAAAAGTTTAATCATTACTATCGTCGGGAACTACAACAAGAGAGAGTGCTAGCAGGAAAGAGATTGTTGGCTCAGCATGAATGCAGAAACGACATGAAACGAATTTATGTCTGTTATGTAATAACTTTTGCATTCAGTATTTTTCGGACTCAGTTTCCTATATAGAAAAGCTCGTGTAACTTCATTTTCGAACATTAACAAAACATAAAATGCATTACAGAACTAAAAAATAAATTTGTTTGCCGGCTCTTCAAGAGAACGATACAGAAATTCAATAGATTTTAATGATATTCATGAAGTGATGCGGTATTCTTTGTGATCTGGAAAAGTGAGCCTTCTGACGTAAATCCTTAGAAAATTAATAAAAAATCTGGACAAAAGGTATTATTCATTTCTAAAAAGACGGTTCAGGCAGGCCTCTGCGAAAGCACACCCACTTTGTTAACAAGTCGTGCGAGGTCTTTGACAGGGCGCTGTTGCTATTTTTGTCACTTAAACTTATTCTGTGTTACAGCTACACTACCCTGGTTACAGAGGGTTGTCTTTTATTTTCTTTCGGCGTAAAAATCAACCCGCGGCTCGACAGCATAGCATAAGCATAGTTATCAAAATAGGACCGCTCTCTCGGGGGTGGGGGGTGGGGGTACTCCCCTATATTCGCTATACGGGGACGTGCCGCCAACCAGGGTATCGTTTTTAGCGATTTTACTCTGGAACAGGGTATCGATTTTAACGAAATTTTCTCTGGAACAGGGTCAGGGTTTAATTCCGGAATTATTGATGCTGGGTAAAAATTCACGGGGTAAAAATTCGGTCTACACGCAAGCTTGTACAGGATTTTCTCTGGAACATGATATCCTTTTCAGCGATTTTACTCTGGAACAGGGTATACTTTTCAACGATTTTACTCTGGAACAGGGTATAGTTTTCAGCGATTTTACTCTGGAACAGGGTATAGTTTTCAGCAATTTCACTCTGAAACAGGATCAGGGTTTTGACGTCCCAGCGGCACACCCCCACCCAAGTTTGGGGGGAGTACACCCCCGGGCCCGCTCTCGATGTTGAACATACCGGTCCACGTGATCACGAGATTGCTCACTCGCCACGATAACAACAAACATGTCCTCTCTACGAACTACATAAGCAAGAAAATAACAGATAGGCCTCTGCAACCAGGGTACAGCCGAGGCGTAGAAGCAAAAAATTCGTAGCGAATCATTGCATTTCTTTGGAGGAGTATTAAATGGCGATTTCATTTTCCAAATTATTCAAAAAATTTCAATTTATAATCCTCTTTTTGTCCTAAAGCATGTAAAACATTTGTAGAATATAAGTAATTGACTATATACGGAACATTCGAACATGTCACGCAATAGATAATTGCACCCTGCGTGACCAGATTCGATCACTGTTCTTTGTAGGGGGCTGGCCACCACACATTTAAGGTTAATGCAGGTCGAAGCGGAAAATTCATAAGTTATTTCCCATTAATGCGTCATTTTCAAAGTTAATCCAAAAATACTGAGATTTTGCATTTTGTATTAGACCTTCAGAACTTTACATAAGACATAGGAAATGCCGATCAAGGTAAGAAACGTTTAAATTAMACTTTTAAATTTCTTCAAACATCTCTGACACTTAATTCTATCTTAATGTAATGACCACCCATAAACTATATAAGTTTTAAAACRTGCATTTCTCAGTCAATTTTTATTGTAGTACGTAGGTAAGACCTCAATTTTTGACGGGTTTACTGTGTGGTAATTAAATGTTTGACATCATCTTGATTAATTAAGCATATTGTTTGAATGTCTGTCAACTATAAAGTATATACAAATCTTTTATTTGTTTACATGGATTATTTCTTAGTAATGAGGATAAATTAAGATTGCAGGAGTTCTAAAATGCTATTAGCTAAAATAAAGATTTGCCTGCATATTTTTAATACTATAAATAATGATAATGACGATAATAATATGTTATACTAATAATCCTTCCATTAATTAATAATTTAATAATTTCTATTTGTATGTTGGACTCCATTTSTTAAATTCAGATATTGATTTTTTATTTCAGTATAGACAGGTCCAGGCATTTGACGTAAGTTAAATTGATTAAAATATTGCTTTTTAATGGTGTTGTGTTGTATTCCATTATTTGTTGATGGCCGTGGCTCGATCACAAATAGGCTATATAATCCTGTGATGTATTAAATAGATGTGTAATAGTTGCCTTAGGGATTGACGCATACACTTTACCTAACTTTTAATTGCTAAAAGTGATTGAGTCTCTGTACTTATTTTATTGTGGAGGGGGAATGAATGGTCATTGTCACCTACATCTGTATTAATAAAAATGGTAACCTTTAAATTTTATTCTTTTATGACAGCTGCTGGATGTACAGACACCTCAGACTCTGGGTAACTTACCAATCAAATCTAAATACTTTATTGATTAATAATATATTTATTAATTATTAATTCAGTAATAGTCTCCTTCATGGTTCCACATGCCCACGCCACGTTGAATCWTGGTTGCCGTGCCTTTGCATTAAAGCGAGACAACCGTTTGGTGTGCAATGATAGTTAACCAGTGTTAATAATTGTCTGTAGGTGTATTTCTATCATTTCATGCTCAACGGACAACAACGACATCTCGCTTTGAATGCAAAGGAATGGCTGCCTTTTAAGATGGTGCCAAGAACTATAAAGAAGGCTATTGTGTTCCCTGATTTGATGAATTATTGATTGGATAGCAGTTTGATTTATAATTTCCTCATGAGTCAATGTATATATGAACTAATTCTATACATATTCAGAATTGCTTTTTATTCTGTCGCAGAGCAAAAGAAGAATCATGAAAAAACCTTGGACAAAGAATTAGATTCTGATGAAATAATCATTGATAATGTCACTCCAAAAAGTCTATCTAAGTGTAGTACAAACAGCTTAGAGAAGGCCTTGGAGGTAATTATTAGTTGCCTTATTTTTCACAATATGTCAGGCCCATAGGATGCCTTATGCCTTAAGTGGGCGGGTTCGTTTTTTCATGTGCCTAAATTAAATGTTTAACTAAATTCAATGCACGGTATAGTGTGTGTAAGAACTGGCTGCTAGCATGAGCAGTTCATAACAAATTACTATCTCAAAAACAGTTCATAACTAAAAGACTTTTAAAATAGAATAAAAAAAAGAGAAACACCGCACCTTTTAAGCTTGGGGGGGGGGGGGGGGGGGGGAGAGGAGAGAATAGTTCACTGTTATTTTTTTCTATGACTGTAAAAGACAGTAAAAGACATAAGTTTGAATATATCAGATAGTTAAATACATGTATGTCTCCTCTCGTCATTCACCAGCACCCTGACAATTATAACAGGGGACGGCCGAGGATGCAGGTCTAAGATGTTTTCTGAAATCTTTCAGGTCAGCCACAAATTGAAAGTTCTATCAAAGGGAGAACAAAATGAGAGTGATATTGTCTCAATGGCTTCTTCAGTAGAAGATTTTGCTGTTTGCCTTTTGGATCCTATCAAGAGTAGAAATGATTTAAATGTATTCCAGCAAGGAGTTGATATCGTTGTTGATAAAGCAATATCTTGTCATAGGAAAAAGGTAAYTTTGATATCTTGTTTTTGGGGGAGAGGGGTGGGGAGGGGAGTACAACTTTTTTTCATAATTGGAAATTGCTGCAGTTATAGTAACTTACATTATAATCTTTATTATTATTATTTTAATCGTATGAGGAAGTAGCTGRTCCCATTAAAGAGTGCTCAATASACAAAAAGCGTAGAGCTAGTTATATATATGTGATATCAAAGAGGCAAGATTTTGCTGTAACTCCGAGTTTCGTGCTACGCACTCATCAGACAGTATTTAAGATTTTGCTGTAACTCCGAGTTTCGTGCTACGCACTCATCAGACAGTATTATTATTATTTTATATATATTTTCATTATTTTTTTTTTCCTTCAGTTTCTTTCTCATCCAGTGGTGCTCAGTCTTCTCGAGAAAGAATGGAAAGGAGCTTTTCATGGTATCAGCTGGTGGCAACAGCTGCTGCTATATGYCATGGTTATGCTTGACRTGTTTATTTTCCCAMTGGTCTTTGTACCATTGTTGTTGTGTCGCTTGGTGTTAAAAAAAGGCGGGAACCAAGGTGGTATTATCATTCCATTTTTTACCATCCCCTAAGGAGCAGGCTAAGGGGCTTCCCATATGACATCTTCATTTCACGTCGTACACCACTTGATATTTTTTGGATCAAACCACACCCCCTGGCAAAATTTTTTCACTGATACACCCAAACAAGTCGTACACCATTTGAAATTTTTGGATCAAACAACACCT